AAATGTTGCATTTGAATAAATCACGCTATTTGTCAACTTGACTRCTTGCTTTGAAGCAAGTCGGGCCTACAGTCCATAGACTGTGAATCCCGTACTGCCAGTGAGGCCTATAGCCACCACAGTATTTGGTATCCCTATTAAGAGAGGAGTCCAGCTGTGCCCAGTCCCTCTAACCTCTGAGGATCAGCTGGAACACAAGGAGATTCATCTCTTACCAAATTAGCACAAAGTCTCCTTTCAAACCGCAACAAAATCCCAATAGAGCGTTCTGCAGAATCCCAATTCAACATTTTGGTCACTTTCTCCCAACTGTGAAAACTATGGCCAAAACAAAAAAAAACAAACCTCAGAACTACATTGGCAGTACTGGGAGATTTTAAGATACTCATTTTACTACTTATACTTTCCCTAACTTTAAAAGTTATACTTGCATCACTGGTTAGAGTTATAAGCTTTTCTTAAACCTAGTAGATGTAAACAATTCTTTTTTTCAAAGTGCACATATTAGCACTAGCTTGAATCCAGTTACTTGGGCAACAATGACATGAACTCACACATATCAAACAAACCAGGTAAAACACAACTCCAGCTTGTGCTTAAGTTGTTACTATCAAAGATTTCAACAGCCTGCTCTATTTTTTGAGAAAGGCAACAATACTTTTACCTTTCTTTCTGCTGCACCTACCATTTTTTCATCACATTTCACTTGCACCATTTTGCTATGGCTCCTATCCATAAAACTGTTCTAACCGAAATGTGGACATTATCATTCTCTTGAGATTCAGGAATCCAAATAAATGCAATTTCCATTGTGCTTAGCATTAAATAGCTGCTAAGCTCTAAGGCCAGCAGAACTGCAAAATATTAAAAGTTGCAGAGGAGACCTAAATTATTTAGGACAAATGGATTATGTAGGACAAATGCAGTGCCTGTTATATGAGCAATATTTGACAGTAAAAGAATAATATTGAGCCTTACATTGTACCTAATCAGTCCTAATTTACAGCATAATCTCAAACCTCCATGAAACTCATCTTTGGCAAACAATTTTTACAGAAGTCGATTCACTCAGTGACATTTTAGTCACAACAGTTACTTCTCTGCTGTAAACAACTTGCTAATTGTATTATCTTTACTGTAAGAAACAGAGACATGCCAACGGGTTTAAGCAAGTCCAGCTACAATCACCACCACCAAACTTCTTCAATTGTTTTGAGAAACAACTGCTCAAAGTTCACAAACAAGCTCCACTTTCCAGATAAGTTGTGGCTGCCTCACACACACGCACACTGGCAGCCTCTCTGTTTCTTTGAGAGGCCACGGTAGAGGTGAACAGTCTCCCCTGAGAGCACATGTCCCATCCTCCCCAAGATCAAGCCACCACAAGATAAAAATGACGTTGTACATTGACAGTGTAGCATTACATGAAATCACATAGCTATTACATTTTTCTACAGATATGCACATAAATCACTGGTTTATCACCATCAATTTGTGGTACATTCTTGTGTGAGTCCAATTTATACCACCTAACAAAMTTTATGATATTTAAACCAGGCAATGTGCAAACTTACATTTATGTCTTCTCAACAAAATTGGGTTTCATATATTCTACTTTGCTTCTATTCACCATATTTCATATTTTTCATTTTTCGCAATTCATTCCACAGAAAAACCTCAATGCTGTCTATAGGACCATAAAGACATAAGATGATATAAATAYCAGAATTATATTAAGTGGTCTTCTAAGTGTTTGCAGTAAATTCCATGAATAAGTATCCACTTTTTGAAGCCATTACCACATAACTTGAACACAGTATAATTTGTTTACTATAACATTGAAACAATAACAAAATTAGGGATTAATCAGATCTAAGTCCTCCTTACATGAGCACATTTCATTTCCAGAGAACCATCAATGACCTTTTTTAATTGAAACACTGAGTTAAAAAAACACTATAAAACACAGCTGTCATTTAGACAAAGAGAAGACATTTAGTAACTTTTCTTTTAATTCAATTTGAAATAACATTTCAGACAACAGTGGCAAGAAACTTGATGAGAGTATAATTATGTAGTTTATGGCATCCTCTTATCTGGTAAATAATAGAAGTAAATAATCACATTCTTTTTCTCACTACTAAGAACAGGCAAGTTGCTATGCTGAAAACTCTACATTGGGTTTAAATGGTTTAGGTGATCTAGAACAATCCACTTTCTGCTAAAGGAGAAAAAAATCCATATTACAGTTCACTTTAAAAGATATATCTAGCAAGAAAGGAAAAGGGAAGCTTTACACACCACTTAAGGACCACTTAAACATCTTTTGAGAGTCTTATCGTAAAAAGCAGTTTGTGCTAAAAATAGGAGAGCTTTCTTACCAAAAGAAGGCTCAAAAGCTCAAAAACCACCACCAGCTCTGCTATAGGCTTCTTGGGTGACTTGGTACAATCTCCAAGGGACCTCCCTTCCCTTGGAAAATACACAAAATAGCACTGAGTGGGAAGACAACACACACTAACTCACATTACTTAATCACCAACTGCAAGTTGCCACAGATGTGAACTATTAGTAGATATTATATCCCTGATATAGACCAGAAAGGGAAACTAGGGAGTTGGTTACACTTTTTTTTTCTTCCTCTTTTTTTTTTCTTCCTCTTGAAGTCCTTTAGGCTTAACAGTCAGAGTCTCAAGTTGAATTAACTTTCCCCAAATTGAGGCAACATCAGCCTAACTAAGCAGTAGTAAAATATACAGTAYAGTTCAGCATAAGAGATAATCTGTAAACAACTACAGCTGTGAAATGACTTCATCTTTAATTTCTATTTGAATGTCAATTCATTCCATGCCTTGATCATGTGTTCACTTTCAGTATAAYCTTGGAAAATAAAATAATTTGAAGATAAACAAGGGAAACATATTTAAACAAAAATCAACAACATAAAAGAAGAATAAACCAGACAAAAAAACAGCTTTATCATATATTCAACTCTTTAAGGGATCTAAGTGCTATTCATTTGACAAATGAGTATTGTATTTAAAGTCATGAAAACAATTACAAGAACATTTTCCTCTATCAGTACTACCACTGACTGGTGCTATCCTTGATTAAGTATATTAGCTTCTACCAATAAAATCTTCTGCGAACAAGAATAAAAAAGTTTATCAATTGTCTGTATGAAGACAATCCTAACATCAGATATTAACACCATCAGCATTCCCAAAYTGCCATTCAAGTTGCATTTTATCATTTAATTATGACTTATTGCCTCATTTTCCTTCCCTTAAAGGGAATAATCAAAAAACATATTGTAATTAACAAAAAAAATCCATGTTGGTCAAATGGGCATTTTCTTGAAGTGATAAATTTTCCTTGGGGTATTAGTCTAGCCACAGACACTGTCAAAAAAAATTTTATTGCATTCATCCCAAATTTATATTTAAGGTGTGAAGCATTAAGAAGCACCTGCCCCCCGAATCAAGCAATCAAGACCTCGGAAAGTCTAAAGACACACATCTCACACATCTCTGCCACAACATTTAGCCAAAATCTAAACAGGTTAAAAATTGAAGAGTTATTTTAAAAAAAGTAAATTCACGCATTCGCAGCAGCAAAAAAAAATAACTAAGATAAAAAAAGGAATTCCCRTATTTATCCAATTAAAAATCATTACTCAAAAAAATCATAAATGCAATAGCAAATTCTTTATAAATGTGTGCACACAAATGTATGTCTGTGTGTGTGTGTGCACACATACATCCATGCTCACTCCCTTTTCAGTAGACTCATTGAGGTTTGCAGATTTCAGCACAGAAAGAACACTGAAAAAATATAAATTTGAAGGAGTAATTGCTTCTTCTGGGGAGGTTTAGACCTGGTGGGAAATCTCACATTCCCCACAGAATTACAAGCCAATTAACACAGGCTGCCAGAAGCCAATARCATTTTCCTTCATCATATTTGAAGATTTTTTCCTCAAAACGTAAGAGCCRTTGGTTATCCACAGAATTTCTTACCACAGCTACAAACATAAGTTAGGGTGAGCTTAGTGACCTTAAGCTATACTCAACACTACCTCTGAAAGCTCTGAATTGGCCTAGCAGATACACAAAACACTTCTGAGGTGGACAAAGTTTCTCAAAATACTCTTTTCTAGTAATTTTAACATCTTCCCCAATATCACAAATGCGAGCTTTTGAAAAGCTTAAAAATTGATGCTGTTCTTAAAAACAAACTATTTTTATAGCAAGAAAATTGATCTAAAGTTAAAAAATTAAATACCTCCAGAAATTAAAGCCTGTTTTCAGCTCCTTGGACTGCCCTCAGCTTTACACAGATTCCCTTTTAACCCACAGGTGTCTTTGAGAGATGCTGCTGACAAAAATACCTAATTAAGGGTTGYAAAGCTCTCCGTAGCTCAGCTTACAGATGAGGCGCACCTTTCTACAACGGTGCTTGGCTGTCTCCTCAGCCATTGAGGAAGACGAACGGATGCAACACAGGCGCGCCGAAAGTTCCCTTCCGCAGACTCCTTAAAGATGCCTCAGTAAAAAGAGAACTTCGGTTTTCTTTTTGGAAAGTGTATTAAAAAAAAAAAGGAGAGCAACTCACACGCGCTGCACGCCGGGCCCCGCACGCACCAGGCCGCTGGTGCCGAACGGGAGCGGCCGCCGCCGCCGCAGCGCCGCCATGGCGCCGCGTCGCTCCCTCCTCGCCGAGCCGCGAGGCGCCGCCAGGGCAGCAGCGCGCAGGCGCCCAACGCACCACGTGGCCTCGGCCCCGTCTCGCGAGAGCAGGAGCCCGCCCTCACAGCGAAGGAACGCGGCATGGCGCGACGCGAGCAGAAATGGGCGCCGCGAGGCGTGACGTCGCGTGGCGTGACGTGACGTAACGTGGCGTGACGTAACGTGGCGTGACGTGAAATACGCCGCAGGGGGCCTGCGCTCCGGTCTGTGGGTCGGGTGTGGGGCTGCGCGGCTGGGCAGGAGGGAAGAGGGAGTCGGTGCTCGGGGGTGCTCGAGAGAGAGGGGCTTGTTCTTGCCCTTGAGTGTCGCTGCTGAAGGAGGTGGGTGCGGGCAGTGATGGTGGTTCTGACACCTGGAGGGGTTTTTCTTRTATTTTTCTTATGTTTTGAGTGTATAGCTCTTCTAAGTTAGGTTTTTAGCATGCTTTTTCATGGTAGACTTCAAGGTGCTCCCAAGTTATGGGATTGTGTAGGATCGCACATTGCTTGATAGTGCTTCAGTGTACAGAGCCTTGCCAAAGCTAGCATGTTTTCAGTCACTTTTCTCCATAAATGAGAGATTTTGATAAATGATCTCTTTAAATGTCTTTTTTAAACATTGCTCTATTTTGTTAGTGTTCTGTCACTAGCTGTATTCCACCACTTAAGAGCATCCTTTTTAGCTATCTAGTTGTATACTTAGTATAAGTTAAAGCAATAAGTAGTGCTAAATAGTAAGTGTACACAGCTAGATTAGGCTGTATTATCTTGCAGTATAATCTTACCTTTTTTAGTCTAACAATCTCTTTTTCTTTACGTTCCAAAGCTTGAAATTTGAAATCAAAACAATGGTTACTGTTTAAAAAAAAGGTATTTACATTTTCAGAGAGGAATTTTGTATGGCTGTAAGATGTGTATGCTCACCCAGAAAGGAGAATATCTGTGCTTGCTGTTGCCTCCTGTGCACGTCTACAGTGTACCAGGTTAGGGCAGRACCTGGCCTTAACAACCCAAAGAGTAAATCATAGGCAGGTAAGTTCCTTACGCTTCTTTTGTACTATAAACAGAGACTTGAGAGTTGTGAAACTTAAGCTTGACTCATATAGCCTCCAGTGACTCATTTTGCTAAGATACTATTATATCCATCCACTTATTGTGATAAAGTTTTTACTCATGTTTGTAAGTGCCTTATAAGGCAGTACAAGAGAGTACAAGTCCTAATGTATTCATCATCCCGTTTTTAAAGCACCAAAGGGYGCTCTTATTCCATACTTATCTCTTCCCAACATTTTTTTTCTTTACTTGCGTCTTGTACACATTCTGTGTGCTGATAATAGACAAGTAATTCTGCTGCCCRGGTTATATTTCCATTCTGTTTCCACCATATAAACTGCCTGCTGAAAAACAGTAAAAAGTCTGCCTGTCTAAAACACCATGGATGTGTTTTGTCCAGCTTCTCAATTTCAGTTCTTCGAAGAGGCTTTGGATCAATATGTGAAGCTTATTATACTAATAATGTAAATTTTGGTTTTAACTAATATGTTAGATCCTTGCTATCAAGAACATGAGTAGGTTAATTTGAAATCATTCTTTTTGTAGTAGATGGATCTCTAACTAGAAATCATTCATCATCAGGAGATTAGTCCCTGCTCTAGGTTCTGTTACCACTTTCAGACCCTTAACTGTGTAATATTTCAGCTGGCCAGGTTAGATTATTTATGGATTCTTTAGCTTAGCTGTAAAATGGGCTGTTTACCAGCTATCCTCATAGAGCATTTGAGATCTGAAGTAGTTTGTACAATGCTGCAGGAGAAGTTTTACTGTTGCTCTAAGGGTAAAACAAGGATATGGCAGCATGAAGTCCATCAAAACTTTCATATTTCACAAGTATAATGGTTAGAGTTGCTAAGATATTGAGTATGAAATAAATTATTTTTCTTGTTTCCAAAGTCTTTCTGGATTGTTATAGGAAACCTCCAACTTCAGGAAGTGCTGCAAAGCATATAACTGATACAGTAAGAAAAGCAAGAAAACTAAAAGTCTAAAACTGCCATCTAACTAATTAAATAAAATAAACTCTTTATGCTCTTAGAACAGTAGCCCCTGCTTTCCATTAAGTTTTTTATTAGAGAATATGCAGGATRTTTCAATTTATCTGTTTTAGAGAAGTTAAAAGTAATTTTTTTTTTTTTTGGTGGGGAGGGAACTTTTTCAGTTCTTTTATACAACAATTTTTTTAAAATGGCGGCAGCTATAAAAATGTTTTTTTTTTTTGCTGTCAATCTATAGAACACTTCAGATTCTGCGTAGTTTTAACATAACAATGTTACATTTTTTGCTCATTGCTTTGTGGTATTTTGTAACTGTAACTTGTGAGAAAACATCAAGGGAGAGCCTCATCCACACAGTTCCACTGAGGCTGCAAGAATCTGTCATGGTTGCTCCAGGTAACACATCAGGCCTATAGAGCTTGTTTCTCYACATGCCAGGTGGAAATACTTTATAGTGCAGGTGATGACCTGAGTGAGAAGGAAAAAGAACTGGGCCAGATCTAATGCTGAAAGTAAATGATTAACAGGTAGTTTCTGAATGTTAACCTTCTGTTCTCTGACAGGCTGAATTCTGATTCTTAAAATCAACACAGTAGAACTGAGGGTGTTGTGCTAGTGACTGTTTACTTACATGATAATCATTCTTATTCACATATGATTAATGACTAAATATACAGCGTATCTATAAAACCTGGGGACATACAGTACCAGGCACCATTCCTGCTTCATTGTTACCTTGGAGTCTAACCTACCTGGTATCAGCTTGATTGGATGTTTTTTCTCCAGCCTTGAAAACAGAGCAAAAGACTTTAACTTGTTGAATTGCTGGCCTCATCCAGAAGAGCTTTCATTTTGATCTCAACAGAACTTGGAGATTTGCATCAAAATGTATTGTGGAAACTACGTAAGTACCATAATCTAGTCTATGAAAGCTTGAAAAATTCATTTCTGTTCTTGAGTTAACACACTTGCTTTTAATTAATGTTAGTAGGAGCAATGGTTTATTCTTCTCCTCACAGCTTTTTTGCACAGCTAACTTATAGATCAATGCAGAATTTTCTAGGGGAGGGGAGGAGCATTTTTGTTTACTTTATTTGAAGATATAATTGCACTAATTGCTGCAGCCTCCCAGTACAGTGTTTGTTTTTAGAAAACTATATTGTGTATATTTTTCCAGTGAAATAGGTATTGAATGAGTTTCAATTAGGTGCTGTTTTTCTGAAGCAAGATTTGATCTTTCATTACTAGATGTGGTTCTAGCTAAGAACTGAAAATGGATTTTTACCTTTATCATTTAATTATTATTTTACTGATGTATAACTGAATATTATTCCTGATAACTAAAGCAAGATAAGAAGAATTAGTCTGATAAAATTAATAGAATTTAATTACTATGGTTATTAGTGATTTTTYCTTTCATATTGGTTATTTCATTTAGTACGTTTTTAATTACTATTAGATGCTATTAATGTATTAAAGCAATTTAGTTACTAAATCRGAGTAGGAAGTCCCATCAAGAACTTTAGTTTCTTTGTTTGCTGGGTTTATTAAGACCAGTCTTAAATAATTGATACTTCATCAGTATGTGATATATTGCCTGCAGTGCATTATAATKTAGCTGTTGGAGGTAACTTTCCTATTTTTATGTCATTAAAACTGGTAGGTATGTATCATGAAAATAATCTAATAGACTACATGATAATTCTTAACCAAGATATTTACATTAGTATTTCAGACTTATTTGAATATAACTATCTGTATTAGCTTCAAGGGAATCTTTACYACAGAAGGAACTGAAGTTCTGAATTTTGGTCTTCTGAGCTGTGCCAAAGTAAATGGTGTGTCTGTGCTTTCCTTGTATTTCTAAATATATAAGGACCTGACAGCCCTTAATTATCTTTCATATAAGGAAAAGAGTAGACAGACAAGTGTAGAAAACAGGGTGCAGCTCAATCTCRAAGACCTCAAAATTCGACTGCGGGCTTTAGCTGAAAAAGTGTGGCAGGATTCTCAGGTTGGGTYAACTGTTGGATTTTATTTCCATTTTTAATGATTTGTAGGATGTGAAGGGAAGAGGAATTAAAGGGAAAACTCGGAAATATCTCAGCAGTTTGTAACCAGTGAAGTAGACTGGCCTGAAGACACTGAATTGGGAGACATACACCCTCAGATGTCTGCAGGTTCCTCAAGATTAAATGGGTCACGGAGCAAGGGATATTTTCTCAGACTCTGTAACAAAACAATTGGAAATCATTTCTCCAGAGATATGGAAAGTGTGAGCAAAGGAAAGTAGGGGTTATACAGGCAGAAGGGTGACACTGAGTCACACTGACTCACGTCTACTCTCCCTAATTAAATGCAACCTTAGCTTGAGAACTAACCTTAAAGGCATACTGTATTAATYGCACACATTTTCAAGAAATCACAGTATATTAGCATTCAAACTGGGTAATCTGACTTTGATTGTTTGTTATCAGCAGAATGACTTATTGAACAAATATTATTAGAAGGTTGTTCACACTTTAGATTGCTTTTTTCCATCATAAGAATGAATCATCCAAACTTTACACAACATAATTTGATAAAAGTACCCTTAGCTTTTACTGATACTTTTATTGAATTGTTTGCAGCCTTGGTCAGGGGCARGAAAAACTAACTTCTGTGGAAAATACAGTGCAAGTTTTCAGACTTAGTACAAATTTTACAGTTCCTTTCCAATTTCTTTTGTTCAGCCAACACCATACAAACATGTTCAGTTTTCACATCTGCTTTGGAACTAGTCTCTTAAGTGTTAAGTACGTACTGTATAGGCTAACAGTTGCATATAAGTACCTAGCTGGACAATGTGGAAATAGGTCTGGATTTTGTCTTTTCTTTTGTATAAGAGAATATCTTAACACTCATTAATCTTCTAATGACAGTATCATGGAATCTCTTCTGGGGACATGTTTGWTTTGGGGACTTAGGGACTGTATGTGATAATACACTGATTTTTTTTCTAGATAACACATGCTTTTCTTTAAAATTCTAGGAAAGAAAGATGGTATAAACACTTCTCTGTATTCTTATATAGCATCTGGTCTAATGTCGTAAAATGACCAGATTGCTTTCAGAAATAACAACTTTGCTCATTTGCCATGCCACACTAAATGCTGTCTTTCCAAAGAGTGCCCTGTGAAGATGGTATGTGTGAATGCCATGTTAGAACCCAAATATCAAAATTAAACCAGCATTTTACACTACAGTGCTCACTGTTTTCTTTCAGTGGACCGTGCCAGGTATTTTTTCTCTGGTTTATTCAGAAAACAGGGCTTTATTTCTTTGTATTTGCCCATCTGTCTCTAACTTCTACTGAGGTTAACTTAGAAGTAAACCCGTTAACTTTTTGGGCATAGCTTTAGCCAAGCGGTACACACATAGTATGTGCTTTGCCAGCAGTAGTCCAAGTAAGGATCTGATGGATTGGAATGTAAGTGGAGGCTCAAGGAGAGAAAACCTTAGTTGATCAGCTGATATTCTGGCAGGAGGAATTAAGTAGGAATACAGAGTCAAAAAGAATATTTAACAAAATGGTTGCTACTAGTTTCAGTGTTCATAGAACAACTTGTTAAACCTACGAAGCATTGCAAACTAATACCAAACAAATATCCACAAAATCGGTTCTTGTGTCCGGACTGAATAACCAAACATGATTTTGTTCAGACTAAACCAATAAATGAGGCCTGTGTRTGGGGGGCCTCTGATGATGACTATATAGACAGCTTGAAGCTCTGTATATTAAACTGTTTTGTATTTTGTGCTGTAACAATTGTGTCTGAATAGATGCACAGGAAAACATACAGAATATCCACAGGGAAAGTGATTTTTCTCATGTTCCATTATGAAAATAATGGGAATGTGTATAGTGCCTTAGGGATGAGGCCACCTGCATATCTGCATGAAAGGAGCTGAGAGCTGATTAAAGTTATATCAGCTTGTGTAAAGCAAAGTTCTATCCATTTTGACAGAGTTGCACTGTTATAGCAATTTCTATATGCTAGATCACTATTTCCTTAGAGCAAGTAGAGCAAGACAGGAGATTTTTGTTTGTTTGTTTTAAGAATGACTATCAGCCTAATAGTGAGCTGTCTACAGTGATGTTGATCAGCTTCTAGGTGCTTGCAGGTTCAGCCCTACACTCAATTTCAGTATCCATTAACCTTCCTTTGGGAAGGTATAAATTGCACTTGGATAATGGTGAAATAGTAAACATGAGATGGTCCTTAAATTATTATAAATAGGAACTATTTAAGGGGGGGATATTTTTACAGTTTGATTGGTGAAAATAAACTGTGCTTCTCACCCATAAATTATAATTAGTCCCAYTTAATGTCCATAAGCAGTGATTTCCTCTTCTGTACAAGTTCCAAAGTCTACAGCCACTAGTAGTGTAATCTTTTGGTCACTGTGCTTTTTATTCCTTTGTTAATCTGCCTTTCAGAAAGTTAAAATATATAAATGAATGATTCCTGAAATTCACAGTTGTATTGAGATAATGCACACACTTCTTACCAGCGTAGCAATTCAGATGATCAAAATAGGTACAATATAACCCAGATCTGTGATATTATTGTGAGGTCTGTGCCTTACACAAAAGGTGTAACACTTACCAAAGCAAGTAATTGGAAGTGGTGTGCACGTCACAGGGTTGACCCCAAAGGGTATAATACAAGCTTCTTTATTACCCTGTCCCATGTCACTGAGTCAATGGATACTTGGTTTGCTTACTTATATTTAAAATGCCAGGGGACTAATTTCTGTTAAATTTTTGGCTTTGGACAGTGTTTGCTATGTAGTCTGTCAGATGGGAAGGGGTAGTGGGGAGTTGCCTAGACCAGCCTTCTGCTTATAAGGTCAGTGCTGAATTCAGTCCAGTCTTAAACTAATGGAGATTCTGTGTGTCTTTAAGTGACTAATTCCACTCGGTTATCCTCACAGTTATAAAATAAACTTAATACCATTAGTCTGCCCTGTTGTGGTTTATGATTGTGACTTCTCTCWGCTGTACACCTTGGTGGAGAGCCTTCATCCATGTTCTCAGTGTATGTATTCCCTGTATGTACTAGCAGGGCTGCTTTTGGGTCCCTAGCCTGAAGCTGTCTCTTMTCTGGGTTGAGTCCTTCAGCCTCATCTCACAGGGAACATCTGTGCCTGGAACATCTTGGTGACTCTCCTCTGAGCTCCCTTCACTTTATCAATAAGCAGTCTGGCTTTCCTAGGTGAGTTATTGTGCAAAATGGTCAGTTCTGGTGGCAATCCCTGGTGCTTTTGCCCCTTAAGGAGAGGACTCGGAGTTCCCTGAAGTCAGCAAAAAGAGCTCTACTAGTAACAGCTGTGATATTTGGGTGAAGTTTTAGTACTAAAGATAATGAATAAAAACATTTGTTCTCTTAACTTTCAAAAGTATTTCTGTTTCAGAATTATGATTTTGCTTTTCTTCTGGGGAGGGCAGAGTCTGAGCTTTTTGTTTAGTGAGGTCAGGTTTAGTGCAAGTACCCTGAATTTCCCTTGGACAGGGTGATTGCCCAAGGGCAATTGTCACTGCCAAGGTAGTGACAGCACCACTTTCACTGTTGCAGTCTTAGCTTTATCATGAAATGCAACTGTTGCACGGGACAAAGGCAACATAATATTTCTATGGGCATGAGTCTTAAATCTTATATCCCCTGTTTAGCCATCTTAGAGATTTTTAACAGTCTGACATTTCAGTACCTCTGTCAGTTACTTTGTACTCCAATGAACTCAGTTTTAGTTTGGAGTGATGCTACTACCTCCAACTATAGAAAAAAGCATACAGTACCTGATAAGTAAAAACTTAGAATGGAACTTTCTTACGGAGAAAAATATTCATATATGTTAAAATGAGGGTAGGAGGAAACACTATGGGCCAAGACTACTGTCCTTTGAGAGGAAGGAAAACACTCTTTCATTCTTTAACATAACCTAGTGGGGGGCCTAAAAATAGCTTAATGCACTAAGGATGTACAAGATTATTTGGGTATTGTAGTAGTTTTTCCTTCTGTAAAATTTTACTCATAAGGCAATTTTAGAAGATTAAAGCTAAATTCATGTTAGAGTAATTACCAGAAAAGTTTTACTTGAAAGAGTCTTTTCTTTACAGATCAAAGAAACTCATTCAGTCTACAGATTAAAGGCTGGAATTTAATTTTTAGTACTATAAATTATAGCCTACAAGTGCTGAAATGTATTTAAGTAGTAACAATTTCAAATGTCAAATATTTAATCTTTTAGAAAGGGAAAGATRATCAGTTCAATCCTAGCTGGCCCCCTCCTTTTTTTTTTTTCTTTACTCCATAGCAGGCTAGTAACTTGCAGCATGTTGATTTTTGTTGAGGTTTGTGGCCACCTTGGCTGGACACATRAGTAGTTCCTTACCTTGTTCCTACCTAGCATGGCATCTAATGAAAGGATAGATTTTTCTTTCCATTGTGCTGATGATCCACAAGACTTTTCTCTCTCAGCAGTTATCCCTTTAGGGTTTTCTCTCCTGAAAAGGAAGCTGTAGTGATTCTGCAGGTTTTTATTCATTGTGATTTACGATGTGCTCTCTAGTCCTGAAAAATATTTTAGACTAATCTTCAGGAGTTATTGTAATGTGATTTCTGTCTTAAAGCAGTTGGCATTTGGTGATGATACCAGTGTTATGCCTTTCCTAATAATTCATTGTGATTGATGGGGAGTTGTTACTTGAATTATTCAGAGCCCTGTTGAATATTTTGTCCGCTGGAGGATGTTAAAGGTTTATCTCTCTCTATGTAAAGTGATTTTTTTCCTTTCAGATAAATTTCACATGAGTCTTCATGATCATGAACCCTCTGTTGGATGTTTGGAGAAAATGCATTTTTAAAAATAAACTATCAGGAAGAAAATTTTAATGGACAAATGACTTAATGTGTCTGTATAGTGACCATCTTAGAGTATATAGAAGTCATGAGATCATGTTATTAATCTCTCTCTGCTTGTCAGAGTTTGGAGAAAAAATATGCACAAACAAAATGGAACTGATCATAGATTCAAAATTAACTGTGCTGTCTTCATTGCAAATGAATGCAATGAAATAACAGTATATATGAAACTAAACTGCTGTTCTGGTCCCTCTGAGTACATAGACACTGTTGCTGGCTTTGCATCTCCTAGGCACATGTGAATGAGCAAGCACCAGGTAGCAAATTTTTGGGGGGGAAATATGATTTTGCATACCAGGATCTTGAGGCAGAAAAGTATATTAATCAGTATTAACATTTCAGTTTTTTTCCAGGTCCAACTCATGAGAGGCAATTTCTGCAAACATGCTCTGTCTTCCTAGGATTTACTAAGATTGATTTCTGTTTCTTAAATAGAAAACTTTGCGTTGTTTTCTCTCTTTAGTGAAGATTGCTTACTCTTATAATTGTTGATTTTAAGTGGGTATATATGCAACATTAACAATATAAAGCACCTTAATTAAAGGCTTCTTTTTCCTTTAGCAGATACAGGGAACAATTTTTCCTGCTCCAAATTTTAATCCTATTATGGATGCCCAGTTGCTAGGAGGAGCCCTMCAAGGGATTAGTGAGTATCTTGACTGATATTTTTATTAGATTTTTTTCTCTGCAATAGCAAGCATTAAGCAAAGTAAGAGCTCCTAATATTAAAAATATCACTACATGTCTACTGATTCTTCAAGATATCACAAAAAGACTCACTAATGATTCCAAATAAATGATGCATTGTATTTACAGGAATTGAGGGAGGATTGATTAGAGCTTATGCTAATGCTTATAGCAATGAGTCTTTTCATTTCAAAAATTAGAAGCAGTTAAAATTTTGTTGTGTCACTGCTGTGAAGACCAAGAAAGGAAAAGTTTTAAACTGTGACTTCAATAGGTAGCTATTACTAGAGACTAATATGGCTTTTAAAAATCAGTCACCAAGAAATAGAAATAAATGGAATAGAAATTTTAAAGCATTTATTRACTTTCCCTCAGGGTCAACTCTGGCTTTCAGCCCATAGACTGGAGGAGCATTCTGGTTCACCAAAGCATTTTTCTGTTTTCAGACTTTTGTATTTTCCTGGTGAACATTTTTGATATTGCTAAGGGCCAGAATATTGGTTATTTATGATTGTCTGAAACATTTTCATCATATTAGGATTGTTGTGTGTACTGGAATTTTTATACCTTTTGGGCTTCAGGAACTTGCAGCACCAAATCATGTCTTCTCTTCATTCACTTTCTTTAATGGAATCATGTGAGGATTCACACTTAATGTCAAATTAAACACCATGAAGGGTGGTTATTGATCAAGAACAATGTAAAATACCTTTTTTGATTGATGGCTAGAAATCTACTTAAAACAGTGCTTCTAATATGGTGCTACTAAGATTTCAGTAGAGATGATTCTCTTCATTTAATACTATAAGGTGCATTAACCTTACTTTTGATTACCCATAAAAGTATATTGAACAAAATTTTAATTTCAAAACAATTTGCAAAATGCCAAATTCTGCTTCAGAGGGATGCAGGTCTCCACAGCATGTACAAACACTGACATGCCTTCTCCCCCAAATCTTACACATAACACCCTTGTTTTGAGGTTCAGTCACATAAGTTAACCCACTGCTTCCAGTGATATTACAGAAATGAAAGAAGTTATTTAGGTGTTAAAATAATTTCCTGAATCTTTTTTACTTTTTACTATATGGACTATATAAGATCTACAGGTTCCTAGCAATAATTATTTTCCAAAAAATAGAAGAAATCTTGATGCACTGTTTGATTTATTGATACTTTCATTTTTTCTTTCAGAGGTAAGTAGTAATAATACACATTTCTCGTCTATTTGCTGGTACTATACTAGCAGCTGAAAGATACATTAGCATGGTAAATCAAATTGATGTTGGTAAACACCAGTGGGATATTAATCTGTTCATTTTTGTTGTTGTTGTTTGCAAGAAATGTAGTTAATGTTCTTGAACAAAATATGAACAACCACAAATATAAACAACAATGATTTATTGATTTAGTGTCATATTTCCTTTCCAGGTTGTGAAAAAGATGTATTGATTGATATCCTAACACAGCGCTGCAATTCACAACGTCTTATGATTGCAGAGGCTTACAGAGACATGTATGGCAGGGTATGAAGGGGCTGCTTTGTGTTTTCCTTATTTCTGTCTCCCCTGTCCTCTTTATGCTTGGATATTTTGCTCAGGTCAGTCAGTGAAAGCAAGAGGCTGGATGGCAGCTGCTTGTCAACTAGCAGATTAGGACCCAGTGTTACTGATAAAACTATCACTACCTCTAAAAGTTTCAAATCGTCGTTTATATAGCAGTAGAATTTTAATTCATCTGCTACACGATCAGAAAAAGGAAGTTACATGGAAAAAAAAATCTGTGGTGTTCACTCTGGTTTTCTGTTGACCTAGCAAGACTCTTCAGAAAGACACACGTGTGTTTTTTGGCTGCTCTGTGTTACCTTCTTTAAGGCTTTGGAATATGTCATAAAAGAGTATTTCATAYTAGTTAAAACACCAAAGAAAAACACCATCCTAGCAAGTATAGTAATTTTGCTGTATAGTTGTAATTTTATTCCCTCACTGATTTATGTTCTCATCTCAAACACTGACTTTTTCAGATCTCAAAGAATATAATCCTGTCCATACATCAAGCGTAATACTCGTCTGAGCTACTTTAATTTATGATTCTTTGGAAGATATTTAAAAATGTATAAGCTTCCTTCATTTTTTTCCCAAATGTATGTTATCCATATCTTTTTTAACATTATTTTAGCCTTTCCACTTTAATTTCTAGTAATCCCATCAGTCCTGTACTCCACCTTCATAATTTCAATTTGGTGTGTTCCATATAGCAGCCACCGAGCTTGTTCCTTTTGTCAAGTGTGAAGTGGAACAGTCAAATCTTTTTAATCAAACAGATTTAAAAGACCGTTAATTGCCTGGGTGATTCAGACATGTATGCAAGCTTTAAGATTCCTTCTACCAATTATTATTCAGACATATATAAAAGCTTTAAGATTCCTTCTAGCAATTAGCCGTCGAGGATATCTCATAGCAGAGATGGCCAAGAAATGTTAATAAAGACAACTTAGAATTGACTTTTTTCCTCAATAGTTTTCCTAGTTCTGATTGCAGGGTAATTTTTAATTAGTATCCATTTATATTATGTACCTATTTCCCCACAGGCATCTTGTCAGAAGTGAAAAGCCATAATGAATTAATTTATATTCCATGTCAGATGCATCTAACGTGCATTCAGTAAAAACTGCATATTGTTTTGTCATAAATTTAACTTTTTAATCTGGAGGTTTCTTCCTTCCTTGCTGCTCCAGCTACTAATTTAATTATATATATCCAAAGCCTAAGCCTGTAAAGATGCAACTTAGAGTTAAATTGAACTGTTTCTGAGATTCCTTTGAAGTCAGACTTTAGTCATAACCTATCTGACAACTGCTCAAGACAGACAGAAATACAAGTTGTAAAATGATAGTTTAATGAAGAAGCTTTTGATGTTCCTTATGTTTTGAAGGATTCTAATAGGTGCGAGTAGGCAAGGAAACTCTCATTCTTTACTAGGTGATCTCTTGCTCATACAGCTGTTGGCCAAGTGATCACTGAAGCGCATGCATGAGAGAGGGAAGATGCTTTATTAATCATGGATCTGTCAAAAATAGCAAATTCCATTTAATGAATACATAAATTGAAGCATTTAACCTTCCAGTGATTCAAAGCAGATATTTTTATGTATTAGGAGCAGTATGGATGACTTTAAAAAAAAAAAAAAAATAACAGTGAGGAAAAGCACAATAAGTCATCTGTACTTTATACAATTTAATTTCCAAATATACTTAGTTCCCACATTTACCTAGGGAATATGTTGGTGGAAGTTATAGATACCCTACCCTGGTCCTCAGGTTTCAAAGTCTTAATTAGATAGTAGTAGATAGTATTTCAAAGTCTGAATTAGATGACTGGTAGATAGTAAAACCCAGCAAGCCTACAGTGCATACTTGTGTGTCATCATCTCACCTGCATTATTAGAAGGGATAGGCACTGCTTAAAGAAGAGATTATTGTTGCTTATTTTGGTAGAAGTGTGCCTGTTGAAATAATCCTGACTATGCTTTTCCTGCCATCTTCCCCCTCCCCATCTTGCTTTTCTAAGGATTTAATAGCAGACCTAAAAGAGAATCTTTCTCATCACTTCAAAGAAGTCATGGTTGGCCTGATGTATCCACCTGCGTCCTATGACGCTCATGAGCTCTGGCATGCCTTGAAGGTAACTGTCTAATTCCGAATTACTTGGTCACAGTCACTGACTGTTTTACTTAACATATGTTAATCTGATTTATTTGACATTGAAATGGTTGATAATGCTGGTGTAAGGGTATCTACCAGGATATGGCAAATACAGAGCTATATGGAGCATATTCATTGGTATGTAAAACAGTATAGACAAGATGTCTGTTGTGGATAAAATACAGGTGACTTAGCACCTGTGGTAAACTTGGTAGCTAAAGAAACATTAATACAAGGAAGTGCAGGGTGCTCATTCTGCAAGGCTTTATGTCATTATTAACAAAGTTYGCTTGAGCAGCTGTGTTAAATCCTGATGAGGAATGCTCACAGGTGAGCATTAACAGTRTTGTGTTACCATTCTCTTCAGTGAGATCACTGTTAGAAAGAAGCAACAGAGCAGTGATTCCGTACACTGCTTCTGCCTTCTCTCCAGGAGTTGCAAAACTCTGACTTGATTTTGGAGACTGTAACTTCCATCCACACAATTAATTGTTCGGTGTTCTGCCTGAAGGTTCCCATCTTTTGTCCAGGTGGGTGGGTGGTTTGGGGGTAATTAGAAAGCAGTAACCTGTGTTTCTTTCACACATGACTTCACTTCTGAGGATGCTAATACTTGTTTAGAATAACATGTCCTCTCATAAACATATGAATAATATGTCATAATTTCTACCAATAACATCTTTGCTTGCTTTTTTATGCAGGGAGTAGACACGGAAGAAAAATGTCTAATTGATATATTGGCCTCGAGGTCAAATATGGAGATCTACCAGATTAAAGAAGCCTACTTAATGCGTAATTTATTTATTTTTACATGTGTGCAGTTGCTCTTAGGTTACTTGTGCTGTAGTTGTGTTAGCATGAATGAAAAGAGGGGACTGCAAATGAAGACTCAGAACTCTAATRTCAACATAATTAGGCCCATGCAAAACCTACATAGGTTACTGCAGAATAATGACATTAAAAATGGGTAGATGTCAACATTGTGTGCAAGTATTTGCATCCCGTTTATTCTCTTGTTTGTTAATCTTCATTGAAAACATTTGTGTTTTACATGATATGTTTTTTGTTTAACCTAGAGTATAATAATGATCTTCAACAAGACATTGATTCTGAGACTTCAGGTCACTTCAGAGATACACTTATGAACCTTGCTCAGGTACTGTAAAATAGTGTAACCTACATTTCTTGAACAATGTAAAAGCTGTTCTTTTTTTTTCAAGTAGTCTTAAATTTTAGAGGTGACTGACTCAAGGTAGTTCTGTAAGGTTGCACTTTTGGATGAGAAGGTGGGGGGAAGGAGCAGAGGAGGACAAGAATTTGAATTCTTTCACCTGTTCTTGCTTGACTTAGCTTTGCTTCTCTTTGAAGGTCCAACTGACTGTTTGACTGAATAAGTCTCTGCATATTAAACCACTGACCCTCAATCTGTGTCTTTTCAAAAGAGAAGGCTTTCATTTTTTTTCATGTACAAATGTAATGTTCAGTTCTAAAGCTGTTTTATCTACCATAAAAATACATAATTYATAATTCAGTTTAGACTTCAGTGCTTTGTACAGATTGCTTTGGTTTAAGTCTTAAAACTGACAGCACAGATATAACTGCTGCAAAAAAAAGTTTATGTTCCATTCAGTTACTCTAATGTAATRATTATGATTTTGTGTAAGGTAAATAAGAACTTATAAAAATTGCTCATCAATATGTTATAGAAAATCCCCTGTAATAGAAGGGTTCTAGAAGAGGTAATACTTCCTAATTAAAGTAACAGAATTTTAATTTAGCTACCATTTAGCCCCACACAGATTATTTTTATTCTCATTCTTTATAAGGCTATTAACTAAAATATGATCATTCTCTGAAATTTAAAAAGTAAGCCTACTTCTTGTGGGATTCTCCATTGAAACTCTACCAAGAGTACTTGCTGTTAAATACTACTGAGGGGTACGGGCATTTAACTCATGTAAAGTACTGTTTATTGTTCATTTGTCTATCTTTTTGTCTTAGGTATGTAACTTTATGCAGGCATTCCAGCAAAATTTTCTTGAAGTAAATTCATCTTGTTAATTATGATTGGTTGTTTTTGTGTGTGTGAAATTCTTTCAATTTAATTAAAATGCAAATAAGCATATTTACCAAGAAGGAGCTAGAAATCAATCATCATTCCAAGAGTTGATAGACAATACACAGGTTTTATCCTCCCTTTCACTGTTGTGGTAAAATGATTGTAAATTCTAAAGTAAAGCAGAATGCTTCAGACACCTGTCATCTCATGCTGCTTGGGAATGATAAGAGCTCTGCACCCCAGGTTGTTTTGTGTCCTTACAAGACAATTATGGTTAAAAAGCAATGGTAGAAGTGTTCTTGTTTTGTTTTCTAAAAATGTATAATTTGGATCTTAATATGTTTACTAAACCATATTAGCTTGATTTGTGTAACTAAAAAGCTATTAAATATATGGCAAAACTGGTATTATTCTTCTGTARTATGTGTATTGAACTTGATAAATATTTCTCAGTCTTTAAGATTAATTTTAGATGATTATTATATGCAAGCAGAATGGCCGCTTATTTGATGTGTTTGCTCTTACGAATTTGGCAGGGAGGGGGGAAAAAAATGAGAAAAGATTCTTTTGATAGGTAGTGTCTTGATGAAAGAAGAGCAGTGAATGGCAGATGTTCTTTAGACCCCTTGTCATTACAGGGCCCATTTGTTTAGAGGAAATGAAGGCATAATGTGGCAATGTTAGATGTGTATGTACGTGGGTGTGTGGGTACGTGTGTAGGTGGGTGTGTGTATATATATATATACACACACACATGTGTGTATATTATTTGCTATTTTTTTTCTTTTTCTTCCAGGGAACAAGAATGGAAGGATTTGCAGATCCTTCTGCAGCTGCTCAGGATGCAATGGTAAATGTTACTATATATCAGTTTCTAAAATGTTAAAAGAACAAATACAAATGTTGAAAAGAGATTTCAGACTTATCTTTTTTCTCTTTCTCTGGTGTTTTAGATCCTGTGGGAAGCATGTCAGCAGAAAACAGGGGAGCACAAAAACATGCTCCAAATGATTCTTTGCAACAGGAGTTACCAGCAGTTGTGGATGGGTAATCCAACAATTGAGCTGTTCAAACATGCAGTAGGAATCTAAGTGTGAATTCTTTGAGTTCTCAACTCTCACTGATGTTAGGGGGAGTTYGGAAGTAATGCGAAATCAACCCCCACCTGATTTCTGCAGGAAGCTGTAGGTAGAGCCCATCAACTTGACAGTGCCTAATGAAAGAGGCAAGACCTTGCATGTGGGCTCTGGCTGTACTGAGACTGCACACAGTGCAGGCAACCACGTGAGGCAGATATTTCTAAACTATTTTTCCACTTCTAAATTACTTTTTACTATGAGTGAAAACTATTGGAAGTTTTCTGAGGTCCACATCTGCTCTGTTATAATTAACATTCACAAACACAGAAGAGTAACTGGATTGTTCTGATTTCAAGCTAGGTAGTCAAACATAATGACATATCCATGACTTGCCTTCCACTGCAGAAACTGTTTGGTGAGTTAGAAGTGGCTTTCGTTCTGAAGTAAGAACAAAGTCCGTCTGGTGATAACTTCAAAATTTTGCAGCCAACTGAATTTTTTATGCTCATGTATAGTACTTCAGAACTACAGTCACAAGAACACAAGAATTATTGTGACTTCTGTGAGGTTAGTAGTGGTGGGATTGATGTGGCGTGACTGACTTTGTTGAGAGAGACAGAATCTCAGAGACAGACCTTATAGCCAAGATTTGGTCTCTTTGTAGAAGAGATGTGATGCTTGTGTCTGTAACATGTGATCCTCCAAAACTTTATTGGGGGGCGATGTCAATATGGCTACTCATAACTTGTGAACCTTTGGCCTATTATACCTAAGAGGGAGCGTGGAAGATGTCTTTGAGATAGGAAGTTCTTAAAAGCTCTATAAACAGARATAGTTAAATAAAGAATAGTGGAGCTGTCTGTGAAACACTTTGATATAAGTTACTAGATTGTTGTATATCAGAGAGACTACAGAGGAGAAAGCTCCTAGAAGTTGGGTTTTAAGGTACTCCTTTAGATTACCTTACCTGGGGGACAGTGATGAAACACATACAGACACAAACAAGAGAAAGAGAGGAAAAAAAGTTAAAATGATGGAGGAAATGGGGACCCAGAAAAGCTTATCACTGTCACTGAGCAAGAAGGAAGAAAGCTTTGGTTTTTGTTTCTTTTGTTTGTTTGTTTTTTCTTTCCAGTTTTCCAGGAGTTCCAAAATATCTCTGGGCAAGACATAGTAGATGCTATAAATGAATGTTATGATGGATACTTTCAAGAACTACTGGTTGCAATAGGTAACATAAAATATTATTTTATACTAGCAGTAATCTCTTATAGTAAAGCTCATGCATTTCTTTTTTGAGATTTTTTTCTCCATTTATTAGGTGATTACAAATTTAGGGGATAATTTATGTAGAAAAGGATATTTTTATAGAAATACTGTTCCATGTTTGTGCAAATCTAAAATGTATATATGCAGCATTAAATTTTGAGTGGAAAGGGCTAGTATTGATTATTTGATAATGACCTTCCTGTGTGATCAATGGTAAGTGCATTAGTAACTGATCCCACGTACATTTAAATCATTGGCAAAATTTTCAGGACATGAGTGTTATATAAAAACTTATGTGCCTTAATTTTCCATTTATTTAAAAATGATAATAGTATTTCTTCAAARATATCCCATGAGCATATTCATTAACAAATGTTAAGTCCTTCTATGTAACAGCTAGGAGTACCCAAAAAAAGTAGCTGACAAATAGAGTCATGTTTGTAGTCACCCTCTTTGTACCTGACAATTATGGTCATATTTGTGAAAAGAAGTAGAAACTTTAAGCTGAATCACAGGAAGTGCCACCTGGCTTTGTATTCCAAAGAGCCCAAAGCCAATAGAAGTGTTTTTAACAATCTTATGAKTTCCTCTTGTAACTTCTTTCTCCTAGTTCTCTGTGTTCAGGACAAGCCTTCGTATTTTGCTTACAGGCTTTATAATGCAATCCATGTAAGTACTTCACATATCATAAAAAGTAGCTTTTATGGTTTTGTTTGTTTTTGAACAAATGCATGTAAATCAGTCTATTTATTTTTAGGGTATTGATGTTTATTTTAATGCTTTTGGTATCTAAATCATTTTAGAAGTAGTGGTTTCTTTGCAACAGCTGGAATTGTGTAAAACTAACAAGTTTAAATCTTTAAACTTCTTGAAAAATATCTGTCTGGCGACTTTATCTTTTTTTCCTAAAATTAATACCTTTATTTTCTATGGATTATATCTCCCCCTGCTGTGCAGAATTGAGTATGCACTTTGCAACAGTCTGTTACTATGATGCAGCTTTGTTGGTAGAGATGTAGTTACCATTTATTACTAATAAATTAACTGTAATAAATATCATTTAGTTAATATTGATAAAATAAATAAGCTTGTGTTATGTGAAAACAAATGGTCAGATTTTCCTGGGAGCTTAATGCGTATAGCCAGTCTCACATCTTGATGTGTAACTGCTAATGTTAACGTTATAAACAGATTGACAGATTATACCAGTATGATTTTTAATTCTTCCATATACAATATAATAAAGTCCATACAGGATTCTAATGCTTGAAATCATAGTCCATGTGGCTTATTAGAGTCTATAATGGTTTGTAAGAAATTTTAATTTACTTATCTGTGTGCATGTATTGAACATCTCTTACTACTTGCCTTTCCAAGGACTGCATTGCCATACAAACAGGTAGTTGATAAAATCATGCATTTGGCTTTAAATRGTCTGAATTTGTAACCAGTCCCTCCCCAAGATCTATTTTGATCAATGTTATTGCCCACTAGATGTCACCATTTCCATACAATAATTATATGAAAATGAATTCATTTAGAAACTTTAAGTAATAGTTGAACACAAGCTATGTAGGCTCAAAGACAATGGTTAAAAATGTCTCTGAATCCAAGCTGGGTAACAGCTGCTGTGAAAGAAATTTTTGCCTTCAGAACAGCTGGAGTGGACACATTCCTTACGAGAAATCCTCAACAGCTAAATAGAAAAACGAATACCTGCAACTATTGACAAGAGAACATGCTCTTTTCCTTTCTGAATTTTCAAAGCATGGATTCACTGATAAATGGTGCATTTTTGTTGCTCAGTAGTTTGAAATCTATTGTCCAAAAATCTGTAGAATGATAGCTGGGAATTCTTAGATTCTTTAGAGATGTAGATTATCTTTGTAGGTGACCTTAATTTTTGTTCAGTTAAATTAGTATAAGCATAAACAGCAAGCTGCCAAGTTTCTTCACATCTTTTCTTCTTTTTAGGATTTTGGATTTCATAATAAAACAGTTATAAGGATTCTCATCGCTAGGAGTGAAATTGACCTCATGACCATAAGACAACGATACAAGGAGAGATATGGGAAATCACTTTTTCATGATATTAAAGTAAGTTTTTTCACACAGTTGCATTTGCATTCAGCATAGGTTTCATATAGAGTATATAAATCACTATCAAAAAAATTGAAGGTTAATATCCAATCACTTGGTTGGAAAAGGAAAAACAATAATGTATAGAGTCCGTAACTTATCTCACTTGGTAGGAAAAGTAATACTGTATACAGTCTGAAACTTGTATCCCAGTCAGTGCATTGGGCTGAGTTCACTGTGAATTCTCAAGTCACTGTGAATTCTCAAAATSACATTCTCTGTGATTTGTCTCCCCCCTCAGTGGGATGAGGAGAAAATAAACAGCAGGTTCGTGTATGCTGGAGAATATTTTGTATGAGAAGTTTCTACACTAATTGATACCATGATCTTCTATACAAGCTTGCAAGGTATCATTTAGTGTGAAACTGAGATCAAAATCTAGTCAGCCTTCAGGAGAACTTTTTCCTCTTATATTTCTTCTGCATTTTCAGTCAAAACCCTTGCACTTTTAATTGTATAACAACAGTCCCTGACAAAACACTCTGCAATTTTTTTTGTGTTGCTATATTCTAACTTCCAGAAAGAACTAATTATTTTGGGGTGTTTGAACTTGAGAAACCTTAAATAGGTATGATCTAACCTTTGAAAGCTAAATTATTTTTAGGTGCTTGAGCAACCAGTAACTGTGGTACATGAAATTAAATAGTCATGGCCTAAAATCCATGTGAGAATAGTGTAGATATTTTATATAACCTTACCACGGTATTCTAATGCTTGTCATACACCAACAGGGCAAAATCAGGAAAAACATACAATCTCAAAAGTACTTTTTCTTGCAGCATTTTGCTTCCGGCCATTATGAGAGTGCTCTACTTGCCATCTGTGCTGGTGATGCTGAAGAATATTAAGCAAGACAACAGTGAATTTTGAAGTCTGTACAAATCCATTTTAAGGTGAAATTGAAACTATAGATGGTCTGTAACTGTAAGCTCTCCCTATACTACAAGAAAAAAAGTCGTATGTATTTTTCTAATTTTAAATCTTTCTTGAAGCAGGAAAACAATGTATAAAAAAAGATCCTGTCAGGAACATTTTTATCCCTATTTTCTGATTAAATCATGTCTGTTTCTATGATTAAAATAAATTAGTAAAACAATTAGTAAAGTAACTTAATCCAAATATATGTTTGTATGTTTATTCTGACTTCTAACATCCCATACATAAGATAGTAAAGAGAGCCTCTTGAACTTCTCCATCAGAGAGAAAACTTTTTTCCCCCACACTTCTCAAACTTCATCTTTTATGCTCTTGAATGATATTATTTCCATTACTAAACTTTAGTTTAGACTGCCCTGTCTATTAAGTCACTCACCTAAGGGTGATTTTATCTTCTCTTCCATTTAACATGTATATCTAATGTATTTATYGCTTTCATCTTTGTTTTTAATTTGAAGTTAAAAATAGAACCATGTACCACAAATCATTCTTGATTTAGTGTCATGCACTGAAAATTACTAGAAGATAAAATAGCATGTGGCTTTGAGAAGTTAATTCAGCATTCTGAAAGGTTAAACCATAAAATACTATTTGCATATAAATGTGAAGCTTTAATTCAATAGAAACATGGAGAATGCCCAGGTGTATCTTTAGGATGCTCTTAATATAATTGCTGAGTTAATATCTAACTATTGGTAACTTTGCCCCCAAATAAAGTTTCAAAACATGCTTGGCAGAATACTAGCAAACAACCTCTACTTGATTTAAGTGTAGCTTCCTGCTAATCAGCTTGAGTAAAGGTGGCAGAACCTGATAGGGCCTCCTCCCAAAAGAAAGCATTGCCCTATAACTATGTTAAGAGGAAGCTCAGCCTGTGCACACAGCCTGTTTGCACCTCCTCTCAGTCTCTTGTGTGATTACTACATTTTTCTTTATGAATTTAATTTTATGTTAAGACAGCTACCCTTTTTTCCAATAGCCACACTGACTCCMAATTAACAGACGTTTGACTTTGAAGTCACACTGCTTGTTTTACAGGTAACTATAGCTCAGTGTGATTGAAGGCAGTGCTCCTACAGAACCGGCAAATAACATGCTGCCTGTCATGCTCTTTGCATCCATCTTTTCCTGGGGCTTGGGAGAGTTACCTCTTTTCCATCTACTGGTTTTTTTTTTTCTTTTTTACAAACACCAAGTAGTTGTTTACAGTAAACTGATTGAGAGTCCCTGTTGAATGTGATAAAGTTGACAAAAACCACTCCTGTGAGCTTAGCCTAAGGCAGGGCTTTGGAAGGAAGGGAGTTGGGCTAAGGAGAAAGGCAGAGCTGGGGTACGGTGGGACAAGTGCTGCCCAGGTGTGTTACCCTTAGCTCAGCTTTAGGGGCCCTTTGCCCCGCAGTTGCGAGCCGTGTCGCACCGCTGCGGAGCCACTTCTTCTTAGCGCTGCGCCTTTGCACGCGGGAATTCAGAACGGCCGAAACGGGAGGTGACGCCGCGGCGCGGGCRCGGAGCCTCCCGGGGCGCAACCCCCGCCCCTCCTTGCGGCCGCGGCTSTAACGGCCGCAACCGTCGCCCCTCCGGAAGCACCGGGGCCCCGCCCCTGCCCCGCCTGTGACGCCGCGCGCGCTCCCCGTGTCCTGATTGGCAGGCACCAGTGTCAGTTTGATGCGCTCCCCAAATGGCAGCGGCGAAGGCGGCCTTTCGCCCCGCCCTCCTGCTGCCGGCTTCCCCTTCCTGCCAAGTTCGGCGGTGGCGGTTGAAGTTCGGAGGCGGCGGCGCTGCGGGTTCGCGCTACCCGCTAACGGCTGGGCTGGCCGTTCCGCGGCGGGGCCCGCCGCCGCCCCCCTCCGAGCTGGAGGCAGCGGGGCCGCGCGGCGAGCCCAGCCGCGGCGCTTGCGAGGCGGGCTGCGGGGAGGCGGCGCGGGCGCGGCCGCCCAGCTGCCTGCCGCAGATGGAGGCGAGCCTGACGTGCGCCGTGTGCCTGTCGCTCTTCGAGGAGCCCGTCACGCTGCCGCTCTGCTCGCACAACTTCTGCCGGGACTGCGTGCTGGAGTGCCTCGCCTCGGCCGAGGCCGCCCGGCTGCAGCAGCAGCGCGGCCAGAGCCAGGCCCGCCTCGCGCGGGGAGGCCCGGGCCAGGGCGGCGGCGCTGCGGCCGGTAGTCGCGTGTCGTGCCCGCTCTGCAGGAAGCTCTGCCCGCTGCCCCGCGGCGGTGCCGCCGCGCTGCCCGTCAACACCACCTTGGCCGAGGTGGTGAAGCTCTACCGCTCCGGCACGGCGGGCGCCGCCAGGGCGGCCGAGGCGGAGCAGGGCTCGGCCGCCGGCCTCCTCTCGCCGCTGCCGCTCGGGGGAACGTGCCAGAAGCACCCGAGCCGCCTGGTGCAGCTCTACTGCCGCATGTGCCGCCAGGCGGGCTGCGGGCAGTGCGTGTCCGAGGAGCACCAGGGCATCTTCCACTCCGTCAACCTCATCGACACGGTGTACCAGGAGGAGAAGGTAAGCGCGCCGCTCGCGGGACTCGGCCCCGGCTCCTGCTCCGGGAGCAGCCCCCCCACCGGCCCCGACCTGTTGTTGGGAGACGCGGTGGGAGGCAACGAGGGGCTACTTTGTTACAGATTCTTTGACTTCCTCTCTAGGTAATTGGGATGAGAGATAATCGCCTAACTAAACATAAGTAAATAACAACTTAATAAGCGTGTAACATATACTTCCCAGCAATTGGCAGGCCTACTAGAATTTTGGGGTTGAGGTATATTTATAGTAGGAGAAGAGATTTTTATCCACATAGCTAGTGTTCTGTTCAAGTGACCTGTTTGCACCCTGCTTAGACTGAGTGCTGGGTAGCATGTCAGAAAGCAGTTCTGATGCCCAGTAACAAAACAGTGCTAAAGAGGATAGGTCTAGTGGCTATTGTAGCTAGGAAAACAAGCCAGTGATGATAAAAAGTAATCAGCCCTATTTTAAAAGGCTTATTAAATTACATTTACCCTTGATGTAATTCTTTACTGACCAGGGCCGGAATTGGAGAATGTAGTTTATGTCCTTAGTAAAGCATAAAGGTGAGGTTGTTTGTTTTCCAGACTTTGTTTCATACATAAATAGGGTACTAATTAGAGAACACACATTTGAGGGCAACATAAGGTTTATCATATGGTAACTAGAGGCCTCAGAGTGGTAGTGGGGTAGATTTTCTATTAACTGTTTGTGACACCTCACATATAGTTACATTTGTAACAGTTTTATATACCATAGATGTTTTCATGGAGTCCTCCACTTTTGCAATGGGCAGTTTGGTCATTAAAAGTTGAAGTACAGCATCGGCCGTTTTTAAAGACGGAAGTTACTCTTGAACTGGTTTCGCTATGTCCCCTCTCCTCCCTCATTCTGTCCCTGGAGGAACCAGGAAATAATAGCTTATGTAATAGACTGCATTTAAAAACAGAATAGCTCAGTAGTAGAAAGCTTTCCATTTTCCCACTGTAAGGCAGCAAAATCTTTCTCTGCTTTGAAAGAAGAGACTAGCTCAGGTTTGCTTGTCAAAGTGGAATGATTTAAGTGTTATAGATGCCTCCGTGATAAAGGAATTAAAAAGAAGATGGAGGGGAAACAGACTTTTGTTGCAGTTAGACAGTAATTGTGGCAAAATATTGTATTGTAGGTGAGTGTGAAAGCGTTAATTGGTAAAATAGCAAATGGAAGCTTATTTGTTGTCACAAGAAAACCTGAAATATTATAAAGTGGTGATTTGTGTCACTGCCTTTGTTTATATGATATGCAAAATATCCCAAGATAATGTCAAGATAGCCAGAGAAATATATTAATTTTATGGGCTGGATAAAGCTGTAACAATCATTTCAATCGCTGTCTTTACAGTTGACCTTCTTCAGTAGCCTGAAAAAACTGAGAATAATCAATGAGAAGCTGACAAATGAAATTTCAAGTCATCCAAATGACACAGATGTGAGTTACAGATAATGTGTGTGTGCCTGTTTTGTTTGCTTGTTTGTTTATTTTCTAATACAGTTGGATAACAACAATGAGGTTCTTTAATCATGTAGATTAACCTCAACATGATGTGTAGGCTGGGTTCTCTCCTGTGGTTTAGACACATTCTGAGCTTAGCTAGGGACACGTCTCTAATGTAGGCTTTGCTGCTGCAAATTCATGAGCATTTTCATCCTCTTGCTTCTAGGTAATGCTAACCAATGAAGCAGAGGTAATTGCACTGGAATTTGGAGAGATTTTCAAGACTCTGGAAACAAAGAAAAAGCAATTACTGGAAGATGTTGAAAGCCAAAGAAGTAAAAAAGAGAAAGAATTTCAGATTTGGAAGAAAATGAAGGAGACTCACAAGAAAACCATTGAGAATTTTTTKAAGGATTGTGAGAAGCTTGTTCATGAATGTGACCCTCAGTGTTTCCTGGAGGTAATAGCCTTTCTATTGCTACTAGACATMATTTCTGTAATCCTCAAAATGTCATGTAGAGCCTGATGCCTTATAGATGATTATTGTAATGAGTAGATCAGAGAAAGCTAGTCTTTGGTGTTTAATTTGAACTAAAATAATTTGACATTTTATACTTTTTCATAACATGCTTTTTTTTTTTTAATTTTGACCAAGTTTTAAAGCTATTCCTTGTAATTAATGGGTGATAATGGGATTTASTTGTGCTTTCTGCATTCTTTACATTAAAAATGATGAATTTGACTKTATAGCTGTGGCTGTAATGCTTGCTATATTATGCTGCCAACTCTGAAAGTAAGCTGGCTTGATGGGAGGGAGTTATTTCTTAGTACTGCTGTTGATGTTGTCTTACATTTATGTTCTTGATGATGTTTATTTTCAAATAATCTGTACTTTGAGCACTTTCGTCTCCTTAAATTTGTGAGATGCTAAAACTTTTCAGGGGGATTACTGGAGCTAGGATTGATAATTTTCTGCACTGCATAGTGGAATACCATATTAAGTATCTGATTTAATGCAACCCAAGGGTTGAGTTTTACCGATTCAAAAAAAAACTACTGTAATTTTTGCCTTGAGGTGTGCAGTGCAGAAATACTAGCTTCTTCAAAGCCAGTTTTAAGTACTAAATCAGATATCTTACGTGCTCCTGTATAATCCCCTGGAAGCCTTACTCATTGTATCAAAAGGGACCGGAAAGACAAATGTTGTTTAATGAGTTTTGAGAAGTGCTAAAGGAATGAAAGACAGGCTCAGTCATTGTGGTTACTGCAGCTAGGATAGACTTTTGATATGACTCTAAAACAGCTACATTGTTATGTCTAGCAGTGTAGCTGCTGTTGTTTGGGTCTTAGTGCTGCTTTCAGATATGGGTCTAAGAAACACCTGAATTCTGTGCTCCTTTTTTGTGTTCTCTGCCAAGAGACTGCAGTGCATCGCTACTTCCTGCAAATGGTTTTTAGACTCCTCAAATAAATGAGAAGTACTTAGAACTTGACTAAGTAACTCAAATTTGTTGGAGAGGGCAAATTTCAGTTTCGGGTGGAAGTGACCCCCATCTATAGAAGAAGTGCCCTCAATACAGAGATAGGAACACCTCAGGCATAACAACTTTTTCCACCATATCAGTACGCAACTGATTTTGATGGGGTGTCTTCATTAGGATTCATTGTAGTGAGGTCAGGGGAGTCTGACAGGGAAGGACGTAGTCTGTAATTTAGGGGTATTACCTGTTCTTTATGAGGTTGTCAGTTGAGGAACTGTAAAGTACATTTTGTACTTCTGTGATTTGACTGATCTAAAACTAAAAGATGGCTTTTCTTTTAAATCTCAGAATAATAGTACCCTGAGACAGTTAGCATACTTCCCTCAATAAGAAATGCTAAGTAGTTCTTCATTTGAATACTTAGAAATATTTGACCCTCTAAAATGCATAAGGTGACCATTTAGTTTATGGCTTATGCATGGAGGACTTTTCATTGGCTCCCAAGAAATCTTTATTCCTCAACACAAAACAGAGTAGGTGATTCTCCCCTGAAAATAACTATCTTTTATGTGACTGGTTTTATTGCTTTAATTTTAAGAGTTTGTGTATGTTAATATATATGCACACGTGTGTATGTATATGTTTATATCTCCTGTAGTTCTGTGAAATCAAGGCAGGTAATTTAACTTAAGTATTTTAATAAAGCAGGAMTCTGCTTTTGTAAACTCAGTGACCAAACTTATCTCTTAAATTCTTGTTTTGTTTATAGGTGGCCTGTGGCTTGAATACAAGGTATATATGTCTTTGTTTTTAACTTTGTTAATTTTCTTGTAATTTTTTTAAGATTAGAAGAACAGTTATTTCAAATATGGCTATAATTATCCACTTAAATATAATATTTTGTAACTTATTGCAAAAAAAATCATGTCAAATTTAATGCTTGTAGATCTTTGGATGCTCATGCAGCGAACTTTAAGCAATGTGTGTCTATGATTTGTGATCTGTTATCTGGGATAACCAGCCTATTGAATATCAATTCTTGAATCAACTTACTGGCAAAAACTGTAGTGCAGGAATTCATAAATACAGGATTATTGTGTGCTGTGCTTAGATACTATATTTGACCTAGAATCAGGTCTGCCAGAGTGTATACTTCTTGTTCAGTTATAAAATATTGAAGTTAGCAGTAGACTAAGAGTGATTGCAGGGTACTTACCCTGAATGMCATATCTTTCCTTCTAAAGATAGTAATTAAACTTATTATGATTCACATGACTTCTTTTGAGAGGAGTACTGAAATGGAATTCCTTAAAATATTTTGTGGTTCAAGCTAACAGCAGCAATTTTCTCTGAAAGAGTACGATTTTGATTCACATACAGCCCATTTATGTTAAGGGTGTGCGTTAGTAGTTTGGATGACTTTTTCTGCAACTTTCATTTTCCATGAAACCTAATTCTGATTATTTTCTTTTAAGTTGGGATGTTTTTGGTTTGTTTTTCTTTTGTTTGTTTATTTTCCTTTTCCAGAATGAAAACTCAGCTTGACCTGATGAATATAGCATCCAGCTATGAGAAACCACCACAGTATGTCCAAAAGAAAATGGATATCCAGCCTGTGGTCAATGAAATCTTGGCCTTGAAGTTAATACCAGTTAATGTAGGTGCAGTTAAAGGTAGGTAAGGAGGATTAAATATAGGAGAGATGCAGGAAGGCACGTTAGGAACTCAGTTTGTGGAATTCCCTGCTAATAAATGCTATAGATGGCAAAAGTATGCCTGAGTTCAAAAAGCATCTGAACAAATCAATAGAAGACAAGCCCATCAAGGCTTCTAAACAAATTGTCTGGATGTGTTCTGTGTAGAAAGTGCTTTTTTTTTTTTTTTTTTTTTTTGGTGGCAGAAGTTTCACTTTAACTTCTTTTAAAAAAAAAAAAAAAAAAAAAAAAAAAAAAAAAAAAAAAAGCCAGCCTCTATGACTGTTGTTAGAAACACAATATTGAACTAGGTGAATTCTTGTAGCGTAATACCACAGTTGTCTACCCTGTAATTAAATTTCATTTTGCCTGTAGGGTAAAAGAATGGGTGCCACATTATGACAGGCCTCTTAAGAGAGATAGATCTCTTAAGCGGGCATCTTGTTTTGCCTCACAAGTGTTAAGTGCTAGAGTCTTTGTTGCTTAGGGTATTCAAATTTTGTTCTTAATTGGAATGTATATTTAGTTGCACAAGAACATTTCAGAATGCAAATACAGGAATAAAATTATTTCAGTCACGCATAGGACTTTGAACAGTGCAGCAAGAGCTTTTTGTCTTTTGTGGGATGAGAGAGCAGGGTTAGTCTTTTTATAATGTAAGTACAGTATTAATTATATAATACTCAATGCCTCTTGTTCCATTTTATATCCTATCTGCGGTTTATATCTTATTGCCTGATATCTTACATATTTTGAAAATATCTGCTGAGCTTTGTATCAATGTAAGCCTCCTATTAAATTAGTAGCACATTGATTTATAAAAACTGTGTTTTAGTCACAGTTTTGTGTCTAGAAAAATAATTGCTTTTATCTTTTCATATTTGGATGCTCTCCCGTCTTTATTTTTCCCTTCTAATAGATCTACTTTCTGCAGGAAATGAGAATTCAGCCAGCAATACTGTATTTAAAAGTAACATCAAGCAATGGAAAGACCAGAAAAGCACCCCCAGCACCTTTCGTGTAAGTCCCTCTCTGTGAGGTTACAGTGCTGTGTACTATCTTGTTTTGTGTTTTATATCAAAATGGTCTATAGTGTCTGATGCAAAACATCTTTCAGCCAGTAGCAGGACAGGAGGAAGCGCTCGCAGATGGTGGTCGGATCTGTACTCGTCTAATGTCAATATCAGAAATGTCAGCATTTCAAAATATGAGCCATGAGGTAGGACTCACTATCTTTTTTAAGTATGACCAAGTTATTAATTGTTAAAATGAAACTTCCTAAATATGCTTTTTTCTTTTTTYTTTTTTTTTTTTAAACACACTTTTTCTCCCACTTTTATTTGGAGACAGGTGCCCTTCCAATTCTAGAATGTAAATCTGATAAAGTTACTTAGGCTTCCAGGTTTTTTTTTTCCCTTCCAGAATACTAGAATTTGATACCTTGTGACTTAAAATGCATATATTTCAATGTCACTTGCCCAGATGCATCTGTAGCTTTCTAATCCAGATATGATTCTCTGTTGTTYATTTGAGCAGTAAGTAAATAATTCTTTTTGAGATAAGAGAATTTGCTCTTCTACCTAAATTCCTGAAATTTCAACCTGAAGGTGGAACCAGTCTCTTCAGTTGCACTTCCTGTGATGTAGTCACACATGTATTTCAGTCCCATGTGGGTGGTTCAGTATGTTTGTGCAGGGATGAATCTTAATCCCACTAAAATTTGTTTAATCAAATACTGCATTGTTTTCAGATGGGTATTATTCCTGACAGAGCTTGAGAATTTGTCATTTAATGTAACTCTAAACTAGTGTTTTTAAACTTTTTTGGCTTTGATAGTCATCATCTGAACTTTACTCTCTAGTTTACTATTTCAGTTTTGTCATTAGGATTGTGTGAGTACTGTTGGTTTTGATTTTTTTAAGATTCTTTTTCTTTGATTTCTATTGACTTCTAGTAGCAATAGAGAAAAAAGCATAAATGGTACTAAGCTTGCAAACTGCCTTTTTATCTTAGTATTGTTCATAACTCTTTTACAATTTCTGAGTCCGTAAATGCTCCATTTAATGGGAATCATCTTTGTATTTCTAGGAGCTACGTTACAAATACTACATGGAACATCAGAAGGTACCTCATGAGCTCAAGACACAGACTCTTGCTGCAAATAAAATGTATAAATGTGGAACCACTGAGGCTTTGAAAAATAAGTCCTCAGGAGTTCCTCTTGTATCTTTGCCTTCTAAGGCAAATAATCCAGAGAGAATAAAAATGGGAAGCTTGCAAAGAACAGATGGGCTTGATGAGATGAGCTTTGCCAGTCCTGGCAGTCACAGCATTCCATCCACGGACTTGAATTCCTCCGAAACGCATAGTGACTTCAAAGGTTTTCGTGAAAAAAGGTCCCAGGAAATCAGCACACAGGCCTTATCAGAGAGCTCTAAGGGCTTAGAAATGAAGGAAAAAACGCCAATGCAGTCGGCAGTTACGGTTTCCCATGGAGTGGATGCAAATTCCAGCACTTCGTCTGCTTTAAAACAACCTGCATCGGTACCTGCTGCTGTTCCAGGTTCAGCGTTTAATTTAGATACTGCTGCAGAGAGAGTTCCTGTCTCACCTTTTGCTTTTGGTGCATGTAACAACTCCTTACCAAGAGATATTAAAGACACAGCTACAGTTTCCTTTACAAAGAAAGACAATAAACCTATTTTTCCTACATTTTACCTAGGAAAATGTGATCCTGAGGATAAAATAGATGACCAGGATGAAGCCAGATTTTCAAAACTTAGTTGGGTAATGAGAACTACTGTTTCTGATGCTTCAATCAGTTCTAACTTAGGATCCTCAGAAAGTGAGAAACCTTTTTTTTCATTTGCCTTTGGCAGTGCAGGAAGAGATGGTTTCACAGTACCTGGAGCCAGCAATTCCTTTAAGGTTTTACCACTACCCTCTTTTCTTAACCAAGCGGAGAAGCCGTGTGACCACAAGGCAACATCTTACCTGGGAGAAAACACTGTTTCTCCAAACCAAGCTGTGGAAAAGTCTATGCCAAATCCAGCTGCCTCCCAGGAGCAAGCTGCTAACACCTCGGAGTCTGACGCTGCTGTAGCTTCTAGTACTGCGGAAGCCGGTGCTGGAGCCAGGGAGACCAGTGCTCCTGAGACCCCCCTTCATCACGGCAGTTACGTGTTCTCCTTTGCAAAAAACTGCCTGCAGCTGCCCTCGCCAGTGTTTTCCTTTGGAAGTGTTGTTAAGAATACCCCTGATTCAGGGACTTCCTCCTCGGTGCTTTTCTCTAGAAGTGGCACTAAAAAAAATGAAAAAAAGAAAACTGAATCTCCTGACAAAACGCTCTCAAATGTAGGAAAGTCAGTGCCTGCAGAGCGTACAGAGCCTGCTTCTAAACAGAGTCACCCCAAATGTGCAGATTTTTTTTTTCCCACCACCTCACCTAGGAAGGTTGAAAATGAAAAGGCAAATGCTGACAGTAATTCTTCTAGTCTGCCTTTGTGTTCCACTGCTGTTCCTGTTAAAGAAGAGACTGCCTCCTTCATGCAGCTTACTACACCGCCAAAACAAGAAATAAAAGGTGAAGAGGACAGAGTCGCTGCTGCAAGCTCCTGCTGCTGTGCCAGCAAGGAGGAAGGTGAGGCCGCGGCGCTTCCCAAGGAGGCTTGCCCTGTTCCTGTGCCGCGCGGCAGGGCGTTGGCGGGAGGCGCTGCGCTTCCCGTGCCTGAGGAGAGAGGGACAGCAAGCGAGACCGACTCGGACACCGAGGAGCTGAGCCAGGCATCCACCTCGAGCGGTAACAGCAGTGCCTCGGAGTACTTCTCTGTGGCGGAAGACAAAATATCTGCTCGAGGGAAACCAGAGACGTGAACTGAGTGGAATGGAAGATAACTATGCTTAAATGAGCATGAATTAAATAAACGCTACATAACGTAAAGTGGGGATAGCCTGTGGTTTTACAGCTCTTGCTTTCCATAATTCTTGCCAGTTGAGGTATATTTGTGCTAGAAACAACTGCTATGACCCTTCAGTAAAGTATTTTTAATGGTACAAACYTCAATGGAGGAAACGACCACAACTGCCCCATGCTTCTAAGGACGGAGTTCAGTGGTGGGTCCTGGCTGACTGGGAGGCATCCCGGGGCCGTGGGGCGGAGGCAGCCCCCGGGCAGGCTCAACAGGCTCTGTCCCACACGGTGCAGCAGGCCAGCCCCACGCCACCACCGCACGGAAGGGGCCGGGCATGGGCACGGCGGCCGCCTGCCTGGGGAGCAGGCTAGGGGAGCCGCACGGCAGCGTAGCCCAGCGACGGGCACGGAGGGCCTGCACTGCTGGAGAGCTGCTTGGCTGCATCCCGCCTCGCCTTTGCTCCGGCTCTGTGCTCTGCGTGGTGCGGACCGCTGGTACTTAAATTGTATACATTCGAAATTGAGGCACTATATAAATGTTCTTGTTATATATGAGGGATGGCTGTTGGTTACGCTTGCAAAATGCTACCTGCTACTGAAAGTAATTGTCAAACAGGGAATTTTGAGTGTCCTTTTTGGCAGTAATTGTGTAAACAGGGAACAGACACTTGCATTAGGAGAATATAGGCGTTAACAGAATCTCTATCAAGTTAGTTTTATGATAGGGAAAGAAAAGCCTTTTTGTTTGTTTGTAGAACGCGTGAGAATGAAAACACCATTCTTCCTGATTTTTTTCTAAACTATTTAACTGCATCCAGAAGGTACTTCTTTAGCTATTAAGCATGTGAATGATAGTACTATTTCAGACCAAAGTTCTGCCTTAATTAGCACTCGGGGCTCTAGTAWGACATAGTGTTGGGTTTTTAATAAGTAAACAAGTCCTATATTAGGCAGATATGTCAGCCTCGTATTACACCCTAAATGCTGAAGCACAGTATCTAGCACCCATTCAGAGTCTTTCACTGGTAACTAGATATTCTTCATTTATTTTAAAAAAAAAAAAAAAAAAATTAATATTGAACTCAGTTTGAGAAATCACTTCAATATCTGCAAGGCTTGCGGTCATATTTATTATAATGGAATACTTTAGAAATAGTACTCTTATTTTGGGAAATACTCATCTAAGTTTTATCTGGCTTGTGTTAAATTCTTGCCCTCAGTTTCTCTATAGCAGTGCATTTCATTATTAAATGTGCAGGAAAAAAATTTCTGGAGTTTATTAAACTCACTAAACTTGCCTTGGTGTCTTCTGTTACAGTAAGGAAGGTAGCAAAAATTCTGTTTATTATTGCTAGTTTTATAGAGCTTTACTGCAGTTCAGTCTTGCGATAAGAATTGTTTGTACCTCTAGATATTCATAACAGGTTTCTCAGCCTAAGTAGGAGGTGAGTCTTTAAAAGGCACTAAGCTGAACTGCCTGGAGGTTGAGCGAGATGCTAAAGGCAGAGGCCATCGCAAGAGGAGGTTGATCCCAGAACAGAGATCAAGACACAGGAGGCCCCTGTAAAAAACTACTGCAAAAACAGTGTAGGTCAAAAAGCCTTTTCTGCTACAGTGACAAACAGTTCAGAAAATTGTGTGTCATTTGCCTCCAGAGCAAGAAACAAAACGCTGGCGTGGAGTGGTTTGAACGCTCTCATGAGTTTCTCAGAATTACTTACCTTTCATGTCACTGGATCCATTTACAGACTTTTCTGAGACTTTGATAAACTTTAGATATWTTGCTGGGTAGTGAAAAGATGCTGTCATTAAATGGCGAGGCAACTAGAACAGTATATGGTAGTTTTTTTTTGTTTCTGTTTTTTACAGCAGGAACTGTTTGTATCAGCATTGACTGCGTCCTGCGTTTCAAGCGTGGCAAGCTGTCATCTGTACGTGCCTTGGTGACCGAGATCGTAGCTCGGGGTGAAGGCTTTACAGGAGAAAGAAAAATAATAAGCAAGGCACTTAACTTACAATATATTATAGTAAAACTACAGATGGCTGAGAGAGCAATACAACTTTTAATTTCTTGATATTTCACTCATCAAACTATTCACTTCTCAGTGGAGGTGATGAAGTAGTTCATATATATGTTACTAAAAGTGAAATATTCTTACATATATATATATATAAAAGAAATATTCCATTCTTCAGCATGTAAATCACTGTTATGATACCCCAAACTAGTTTGTTTTTCACRCAAGATGTTTTCCTATGGAAAAGAATTAGTAACAAAACTTGAAGCCCCTCTTGTGTTCTGAACATAGAGGCACTTTTGCTTTGGGGGAGATACAGAAGTCTGAGGTTAAGAGGCTAATTGTGAAGCATGGAACAAGTATTTTAAATAATGCCATGATGGATCAGCGCAATTGTGAGAATGATCTGGCACTGATAAACAAAACAAGGAAAAARTAATCTAAAAGTACTTTTTTTTCAATTTTGGTATATTTTCATTTTGGAGAAAAGCAGATCTGTACGTTCAAACAGATGTTTATAGTTTGAAAACTCAGAAAATACTCTAATTAGCTGCTGAAATAAGCATTCAATGTCTTCCTTTAGTCCTGTAGCAATGATCTGTGTGTGTGATGTTAGCCAAAAATATTATTCCATTTGTATCGGGAAGGGCCTAAATTAGGCTACTTCAGCTTCMGGTAGGGAATGTATGCATAAGATTTGCCTATGTGTGCCATGATTGCCACTGTTAAAAATAACCKTAGTAAATTTTATGTTCCAAACCACGTTAAAGCACCATGCTTTTGCTATTATGCTCTATTTTTGTTGYGATTTTGTTTCATACCTCTTGCAAAACGGTGGAAGAGAGAGAAGTGAGTCTATTAATGGTAGCTGAGCAACCTACGTGCCTGGCGAGGGTGCTTCCATGCACTTGGGCATGGAGCCGCCGCCAGCGCCTTCCCCTCGCAGCTCAGGGCGCACGTGAGCGGGTGGGGAGAAACTCCCTGGTCCTAGGAATGGTCCCCATCRCTTTCTTGGTTATCATCATCAAATTGTGTGTTGCACGAACAGCTGCTGTCAAAGCCTCCTTCTCCCAAGTTTTTTATCTGTGTGGATGCAGCTCACACACATCTCTAGGTGTGTATGGATGTTAGGCTGCAGGTGGACTAAAATGTACCGTTAAACCAAAGACTTCTCATGAATATATGAAAACAGTGGCAGAAACTTTTTTGTGTTCTGTTCAGTAAAGGAAATAAGAAGTGGACGTTACTAAATTTTTCTTTTATAAGGAACCTTTTGACATGTACTGCAGGAGCCCCCCCATGCTTATCTTTTGAACTCTTAACAGTAGAATATGTAAAAAGGCAACTGAACACGTCTTGAAACTGTCACCAAACTTTATTCTGATAAAAACCTTTATTTATATACTTAATCTTTGTAGGTTAAAATTGTGGAGCCATTTAAGAGCTTTCATAAATGATCATGATGGTACAAAGTCTGCTCTGTAACACAATACAAACCCTAGAGAAGAATTAAAACAAATAATTCGATAAAAATTGGCAAATTGCCTACTGAAAACTAATTGGCTGAAAGGTTTCAATGCCCTGCTAATGACAATGCATGGTGTATTCCTGCTCAAAAAAAACACCCTTAAATTTGAAAAATAACTGCAATTACCTGGTTCTACAATACATTAAAAACAATGATTTGTACCTAAAACATGCTCAAGTGGCCAAGTCTCCAAAGACAGCTGCTCTGGAGGGAAGGATGATTAGGGAGCAGCTCTCTGCAGTCACAGCTCTCCTCCTGCTGCAGCTCCGCGCTCAGGCTCACACAGCAGCCAGCTTCTTTTCATAGTTGTCAGCCAGTTTTTGGAAGGCCAGCAGAACATGATCATTGGGGTTGTCGCACAGTTCACTCAGGGAAGTTCTGTTTATTAAAAAAAAAAAAAAAGGAAAAAAAAAAGGTAGGGGTCATTTTAAATGGTTTTAAAAATATAATATACGTTGGATATTAAGAAATGCAAATTTTTCTTACGCTATGCTCTTAATGAGGAGTAGAAAATCCTTGAGGTGGCAGTAGGCATCTCCTTTGTTTAACCTTGGAAAAAAAAAATCCAAATGACTGTGTGTTTACACCATGCTGTTTCACCTKGAGTAACTCCTGTCACCTAGGTGCATATACAGCGCGTATATAGGGCCCGCAAACCTTTTTATACTGCTCCAGTAGGTTTACTGGAGAAACCTGAGCTTCAAGTCTAATTAATAATGTGCCAGAGATTAATGTTTCTGTAATTATACTAAGCCTACCAAAAGACTCGAGGATATTTATTGTAACAGTAGTGTGGAAGCGCAGTTGCAAGGGCTTGAACAACGCGAGCATCTCCCTCTAAGCCCCAAGACTTCACTGAAGGTTAGTCTGCTGGCTCAGTGCAGTAGGAAGTAGTGTAAGCTCTTCATCAGCTATGTTGGTGACCTAGAGATGACTAAGGGCCTATGGTCTGCAGAGAGGTACTGCCTCCTCACTGGAATAAAACTGCATAAATTTCAGTTTCTAGTCATAAAGAGTATTAAAAAATAACTAAGTTTGCAATCAAGATTGTACTGTAAATAACTACCCTCTGTGCCTTGATAACAGGGCACTAATGCCAAACAGTGTTACCCTGACATGTGTTCTAGGGGTTCTCTTTAAAAGACCAAAAAGGATGATACTCTTGTAAATGGTACAAGCAAAAGAGAACCTCAAATCCTCCTTGAGAAGAAAAAGAGAAGTGGCMCGATAACAAAGGTAAGAGTATTTTAAAAAAAGAATTTTTTGAAGCTATATCAAGTGCAGGAGTTTGGCAGGTTCTTTGACTTTTTTTCTGTTACTTGATTGAGGTTTATCACAATTAAAAAGACAGAAGGGTCCCTGAAATGAGAAAACTCCAAGTAATAATAGGGAAGACTGTAACATAACAGAAATGTTGGAAGCTTGGTAAAATAATAAAGATAACGGGAATGTGTGAAGGAAGTAATGTGAAAAGCAAGAGGCAGGAGAGAGTAAAAAAAGTCTGAAAACTCCAAGCTTGGAAAAGTCAAGAGTATAAGTGAGCCAGGAGGAAACAGGAGGGAAAACTGTGCCTGTGCCAGAAGCCTAATGATTAAAGATGAGATGAGACCATCCTTGACCAGCTTATGGCACTCACAGTTTCTGGTTTGGGTTATTTTTTTWAAAAACCTTTTTCTCCCTCTTTAAAGGGAGAACAATATGAGTGTGTTATGAAAACAAGCTGCTCCATGCAAGTGAAAAAAAAAAGAGGGAAGTGAAAATACACATGAAATACCGATTAAAATAAAGAATCAAGGTGAGTTTCTCTTTGCTGCACAGGAAGACATTTTAAAAGACTTTGTGCTTTTTTATAGAGTAAACAAGTATCATGCCACAAGTTAGTCAAAATAACTCTCCTATGATCCAATTCAAGATTTCACATTTACAGCACTGTTTCAGGATGCAGCTAACACTTTTTGGCTATAATCACTGGGCTTCATGTAGCCTCTTGGTTTCGTTAAAATGTGCAGCTAGTCTGCGGGTACTGAATGGCTCCGCCCTGGGCCGTGGGGCTGCAGCGGCGCGTGTGGGGCAGGAGGGGCCACACGCACCAGTTGTCCGTGTGCAGCGCTGCCAGGGAGCCGTGCTTGTAGAAGTCGAGCGCGTAGGCGTTGAGCGGCTGCCGCCTGCCCTGCTCGTCGCGCTTCTCCAGGTAAAGCAGGGGGCAGTTGCTCACGTTAATCCTAAGAGAACGTAGGATAGCCTGGGGGGGAAGGAAAAAAAAAAAAAAAAACACCTACTATGTTTTGCTGCAGCCTCTGTTGTGGCAAACCTACAACTACAGACCATGGGCCGAGAAGTTCCACATCTCTAATCCTGAGCCTCTCCAAAACTTTGACCAAAGCCCTGGTAGGATCCCSGACACAGAAGGCATGTTCACCAGCAAACTGATTTCTGTGCAGTCTTCCAGAATAACRTAACGGCTAATGAGGCCACTAGGTTTCTTGGGCTGAAGCTTTTCTTCACAGAATCACCTGTTCTTGAATAGGTTAAATATAAGTATTGGCCACAAGCAGGGATCAATGTCAGGATGAAGGAGGGCTTCCCATTTCTGGTTTCGGGAATTTCACTTTCCTATTAGAGAATGGGGGCTTGTGATAATTCCCTGCTGGTACAAAGCTCAGGCAGACGATCACAGGGATGCATACTGGTGGTTATTACATATATATTACATATATATATTACACATACATATTACATATATATATATATGTAATATATATAAATATATATATATAAATTTTATACATATATATATATTAAAAAAAAGTTACATAATACAATATATCACTATTAAGTCCTTGTAGGGTAAGAAATTTATCAATGTAATAATGGCACTGAAGGCTCACTTCTCTAGACAACTTGGGTTTACTGCCTGATGTATGAAAACAAGTTCCTGAAGTGGAGAAAAACAAGCTAGGACTATGGTTTGAAGCTGACATTTTATAGTACTCCCTAACTCATTTACTTCCCTCACAGTAAACAGGACTCAGAAGCCAGGAAGAGAGGTGCCTTTAATTTTTATATAAAGAAAACTCTTTCATTRTTTACAGCCTGTTCTTTCCTATATCCATGTATTCCGTGCTCCTTTCATGGTGATAATCTAGTGCTACTCAGTGCTGTTTTTCTTATTTTTAGATTTTTCAGGTGTACTTGTTTCTCATACAGACTGACCATCACGTCAACTGCCTTCACGTCAGCCAGAGGCAAGACGGCTGCAACAGACACTGTTTCTATTAAAAGGCAGGACAATTCACCCCTCTCCCCCTTCCCCTTAACTTACTTGATTAACGTTGGCTGCTTGCAGCAAGTCACCATCACTCATGCCAGACAAACATGCAAAGGGGGAGACGGCGGCTACGCTTTTGGCGCTGTCCATCAGGTGAGATGCTAGCTCAGAGCCAGGCCAGTCTCTACTCGTAAAATCTAGAGGAGAATTTGGAAGGACAGGGTAAGCAATGCACCCCCCTGCACCCCTTCACCAAAGGCTCTTACAAGTAAGCAAACTGCAGCTTGCTTAGCTAATGATAGAAAGCAGAATCATTCATTCGAACTTAAATCATTCCTGCTCGGCTTGGTCTTAGGAATCTCTAAGAAATTGATTCCAGTATGTAAGAACTTTCTAAGAGTGAAAACAATTATGGCTAAAGCTCTTCCCCTGTAATTTAAACCTCTCTTTTCTTGCCTCATCCCTGTCCAGAGTTACTCCAAAAAAGTGCATTTTTCTGTCTGAAGACTTCTTTTTCCTTCTTTTTCCTTTCACCTTTTTTTYCCCCCATCTTCTATTCTGTCCTAGGCTCAAGGAAGTGGTTCAATCTGTAGTCACGGGCTATATCACCTAACTGTTTCTGCTTTGTTCTCCCTGGTGCGTCTCGGTCGCAGCTGCGCCGGCCAAGCAGCCGCGTGACACAGCCTGCACCCCGCACCAGCCTCCCACGTGCTTCTCCTTCAGATGGAAGAGCCACAAATTACTTACTGCCACAAATTCCTCAGGACTTGGACTTGTCTTCACTAAGCTAGTTTTTTTTTCTAAACTGTTGGTGATGCTTTTAATCCTTATGCRGAAGCCTCTTCTGCTTTGTGTTACGGTAAGCTTGCTGCAGGTGCATCCTTTACCCACTGGTAATTACAGCTCAGAGGCTGACACTTTTTTTCCCAGACTCGCTCCAAAGTTGTATC